CTTCTTCTTCTTCTTCTTCTTCTTCTTCTTCTTCTTCTTCTTCTTCTTCTTCTTCTTCATCATCATCATCATCATCATCATCATCATCATCATCATCATCATCATCATCTTAGTACTCCAGAGCTGGGAAGGACCCTACTGAGTTCTGGTTGATGTTTTCAACATCAACTATTCCTGTTTTCCTCCTGAAGTGACATAGTGATGGCCTTGTTGCCTCCAAAAATAATGTGTTACAGGTAACATAATTTCTAACCTATTGCTTCCTACCTATGCCCCTTTTGGTGCAGGAAATCCATGGCTACAAGCATTCTTCTACAACAGAGAAAAGTCCGAAGAAGCCATGTTACTAATGGATATGAAACTTACCCATAGGAACAAGTGGATTATGTGACCATGGAAGGAATGGAGAGAATTTCAGTCCACCCTTTCTTTTATGGGGTTGGTCAGGCTTCACACTCTGGGAGTGATGCACCCCAGGGAAAAAGGAAATGTGTGCTTGTTGAGTCAAATGCTCCAATTCAACCTGCTCATGTTGTGATGTTCTTCACAGTGTCCTATCTTCAGGCTAGTTCTTCTAATTTGATGTCCTGATGGAGTTTTGAGCAGCTACCTAAGAAATGGAGCTTTAAAAGGTTGGTCTTCTGGATAAAATCCCCAGATTCCTCCACGAGCGGGCATGCTAGTGGGAGGATTTGGGGGTTGAAGTCTCAGAAAACCTCACTTTTGCCCCTTATAGCTCAGGTACGTGATTTCTTCTAATATAGCCTTTCTTTTTGGGTGGTTTGTTGCAGACCAGTAGATACCTCTGGTTCTTCCCTCACTATTGGAGCATCATGGACCTCAAGCCATCTTCTCATCCATTTTATGATAGTTGTTCCTTGTTGGGAAACAGAAAGACACTAATCAACCTCCTGAACGATGTTTACAAACCCGTGGGCAATAGAACCTAACAGTGTAAACGTGCCAGGTTGAGAGGAAACTCTTGATGGCCATACAAAAGAGGCATATAGTGTAGAATTAAGCAACAGAAACATCCTGCCTCCATCTTGAGCGGTAGACCCAGCCAACCTGATGGTTGGATATCATCAAAGTTTTGAAAAGATCCCAGAATCCTTCGGGAGGTAGTTCTGAACATCTCCCACGTCACGGGACCACTGTTCCTAGAATTGAGTTCGTCCGTGCTCTGATGGACCCGGAGCAGACTTAGAATCTTAGAAATGCAGAACTGGAAGGGACCCTCTGCGTTATCGAGTCCAGCCCCTGTCAAGGAGGCACAATGAGGAATTGAACTCCCCACCGCTGGTTCTGCAGCCAGATGCCTCAACCGCTGAGCGATCCAGCAGTTCTTGCAGGTGAACGCACAGAAACATCACCACAACTGGGCATAGACCAGTCTGTACATCCCTAGCTGAGTGACACAGCTTTATTTCAAGTGACTTCCTTGGCACTTGGGTTATAATGACACCTATTCGTCCCCTTCTAGGATTCCAAGTGATGCAACCTGTATAATTTAATTGGCTCACGCTTGCCTTTGGATCTTTAAAAACTCAGTTGCCGAAAGCAATGATCTGACTATGGAAACAGACACGACTTCCACTTATAGCACTCCTCCTCAGCCTTTTCTTTCCAAGCCGGGCCTGGAAGCCTTCTAGGACATCATGATTAAGGGTCAAGAGAGCCAGTCATGAGGATACATCACCTTTTCTCAGTTTCCTCTAATGAAAGAGTCCAGCTTACTCATTAAATACAACTCAGACACACAGATCATCGTGCTGATGAATTCTTGTCTGCGCTGAATCACTTGCCTGCAAAATATTTGCGATGTGTTTCACTCTATTAATGGGCCTGTTTATTTGGGGAGCTAGTCCATATTCCCAGAGCATATTTATATAATAACAGCATTGGGTGAATAGAGAGCCATTGTTATGATGGTGGACATCCGTCAGTCTCTTTCTTCAAGAGTTTCTGATTTATTCGTGTTATTGCCCAGAAACAGATGACTGATTTCTCCTTGCACAAGGGAAATTGCTTTATGTCTTGGGTACAGTTTGTATGCCAAATCTAGGGGTCAGAAGAGATGTAAACCCTCTTAGGTGAGCTTCTCATTTTTAAAAGTGGCCCTGAATGTTGTTTTTAAAATCTTTTCTCTCTCCGAAGAATGCTTTTAGTGTGATTCGGTGTGCATTGTTTTAGGGATCCCGCAGGGCAGAAAAGCAGACCACATCTAATCAAGTCAAACACATAATAAACCACAGACATGTTTTCTGCCATCTGTCAGCCACATACCTCCTCCTAATCCTTTAATTCCCCACCGCATGTTATTAAAGGGTGGAAAGAGAGAATAATGGTCATCTCTTGAGCTTGAAGAAGTCATTTTTAAAGACACCTGTCAGGACTGACATTTATATTTATGAAATTAGATTATTGAAATGCTTCCTTTGAATATTTCCCATTATGAATAGAAGCCAAAGTTCATTCATAGTGACAGCTTCAAGCTCCTGTTGCTGGTTTTTGTTTGGTGTTACACAATCTGCTGATGGGTTTAACTTGACTTATTCTCTTTCTTACTTGTTATTCCATTGTATCATTCTTGTCTTTTATTTATTTTATTTTATTTATTTATTCAATTTATACCCCACCCGCCTAGACAGCGTCTACTCTACACTTTATGTGTTTAACAGATTAGACACCACCCAATGAGCTCCAGTGAGTGAGAACTTTTAAAAAAATCATTTGACTGATAGCCTATAGCCTCAAACTGGATAGATCACATGGATCATATGAGGATGATCAAGGAAGCATTTACACCAGCCTCTTCTTAGTGCATCAGGTGCATGGTGGGTTGAAGAAGAGACTCCATGAACAGGAAATGAGGCCCAAAAGATGACACCTACCTGAGCCCACAATTGAACTCACATTGTGAGCAGAATCAACACTGCAGTTTAACCACTGCACTATAAGCCCCCTGTTTTACCCAAACAAGGTTTAAGTGGAGAAAATAACAAGCGGAAGTCCCTGGAAGCCATTGAGGCACTTCCCATCAAATAAATACATGTTCATCAAAGTGATGGTGGAGAGAAGCAATTATCAGGATTAATGGCTAGAGCAATGTCTTAATACCAGGTTTCTTGTTCTTTGTGGTGCTTCATTTCCGGGACCCGGCTTGTCGGAAGGGTTTAAAAAGAGCCTGCTTTCTTTGGGCGTCTTAGTTGTTTGTCTTCTGTTCCCTCTGCCTCTTGGGGTAAGTTCTGGATGTCATGTTTTTCCAATGGCTATCTGCGAGGAGCATGAAGCTGGAGCATCTTGGAACTCTGTCGTAGATGTGCTAAATCAAGTGATCCGTGCCGCGTCAACTCACGTGCTTGATTCTGATCCAGGTATTAAGAGAAATCTCTCTCTCTCTTTTTGACCTCTTCTCTTGCAGGTTCAGCATAGGCGAGATGTCCTACCAGTGCAAACTCCCGTGTACGCCTCCTCCTTCCTGTGTGAAGGGATCCGGGATCAAGTGCGCCGAGGTGTGTGCCCCAGCCTGCAAAACACCCTGCAGTACCAGCTGCGCACCAAGCCCCTGTGAAGAGGTGGTGTCCAAGTGTGTTGACCCCTGTAGTGGCACCGTGTGTACCACACGCCAGACGCAGTGCAAGGATGTTTGCGGTCACTCCGTGGCGGTGAAAGGGGCCGCCGTGAAGTGCACAGAGCCATGCTCGGGTTGTGTGCAAACCGTGTGCGGTGACCCATGCGGAAGCCCCACAGCTGTGAAAAAAGTCGGAAGCCCTTGTGGAAGTCCCTGCAGTTCCGTCTGTGGATTGCCACTGCAGACTACGATCTGTGGCTCCCCGTGCCAGTCTGTCTGTGGGACACCATGCCAAGGTCAACCGTACGTTCCTCTCTGCTCGACGCCTTGCCAGACCCAAACGTGTGTTCCGATTTGCCTCCAGCCTTGTGGGTGCGGGTGTGGTCGAATTGTTTTGGCCCCCCAGACCCGTTGCGTGAATCAGTGCCCTGTAGCCTGCACAAGTGTCTGTGCCGTGCCCTGCCAGACTCAGTCGGTTGCCTGTTCCTCAGACACCTCCTGTAGCCAGTCCACATGTTCTTCCTGTACTTCCTGTTGCAAGCCCTCCTGTTCTTAATGGTCGAGGGACATCTGCTGTCTCCAGAGAGGAGCAATGAATGGGTGGTATGTGTGTGCATTAGCCAACCCGCTTTATCCTTTCCACATGTACCAAATAAGTTTGCTTGTCCTCAATCTTGCTTGCTCTTTCTTACTGCTTATAGTCTTTTGTGCCTTCTCCCAGAAGGTAATGAAGTCTTCTGGTGCTCTGGAGAACCCATGAGTAACATCAATGGAGAATGAAAGGGAAATCATGGAAGAGACCCAACATGAAGCCGGCTCCTGGTTTCATGACCAGTCTCACACAGGTCTCGAGACTGATTGTGAAGCTGATCATGCAACAGGGGCTCTGGCAGTGTGGGGCACGATTTCCCCCACTTTGCATTGAAACAAGATATTAATCACAGCCATTTTTGTGAGAAGTACACTATGAACCCAACGGTTGGTGGAGGACTTGGGAGTGAGCAGTGAAACAAAGACAATTTCTTGATTTACATATTATCTCTTATAAAGGCTGCACACTTTTAGGTGCAGATT